ACAGCATTGCAGTGGCAGAGCGAGAGCCAGAGAGCGGCGAGGGACAAGATACAACGCACGCAGAGAGAGGGCGAGAGCGACCAAGGAGAAGAGAGGGGAAGGCGAGGAGGAGAACTCGTGCGTCGCACGCTCTCGAAAATGGCCGACTCACACGCTGCCAGCAACGGCACTGCTGCTCCCGGCGGCATGTCGGATGGCGGTGATGGTTTGCTGGAGCCTATGAAGTATATCGTGGTGACAGGGGGCGTCGTGAGCGGGCTGGGCAAAGGTGTGACGATCAGCAGCATCGGACGCATGCTGAAAAACTGCGGGCTGCGCACGACCTCGATCAAGATCGACCCGTACTTGGTGGGTGCGCGTACGAACTTCCCACCGATGATGATTATGATTTTTAAAAAATTGAAATTTGAGGGGAAAAAACGTTTGAACTTTAACTTTTGAACGGGGGCGCCTACAGCCAAAGCGCCACCGTGGGAGTGCCTGTTGGGTACTGGCCGTAGCCATTTGTGGCTGCACCTACGAATTCGCGCTGTGGCTCCAGTGGGCTTTCTGTTCTGAACGCTGTAGCGTGGCCTCAGGTTTTTTGGCGGTCCGCGCGTGCTGTGTTGAAACATTCTAACTGGAAGAATGCCCCTTACAAATCCAGAATGTATCATGAATCATCTTACAGCCTCGTTTGTGACTGCTGTGGGGACGGACAGCAGGGGTTTGGTTGTGTTTTATGTATACATGTACCTGGTGTCAAAGCAAGGAAGAGCGAGACCCGCCGGGCGAAGAACTAAGTTATGCACCAGTTCCATCTTTTACAGTCCGCCACCCGAGGACCGAACAAAGAAAAAACAAAACGCATGTGGAGATGCAACATCCTGAAGCCCAAGAGAGCAGTCACATACCGGTACCATTTTTCAGCAGCAAAACTGTTGTGGCAAGTCTGGGTCTTCCAAGTGTTCGCAAATACAAGGCGGACACGGCAGCTGTTCGCTGCGCCCACCTCCTGGCGTGTGTGTGTGGTACAAGCAGGGAGCTGTCAGCCGCGGCGGACTGCTGCAGACGGTCTAGTCTTGCGTTTCAGTCTCCGTGGCTCCGCGTGTTTTTTTCGTGCCAACCAAAATCGTTTGTGCTTGGTATGCACATCTAGCTCCATCAACTCGGACAGCGGTTAATATACAACCTGAGCCCATCTGTTGTAGAGGACGGAACGAGGATGCTGGCACGATGTCGTCGTGAAAGCACGGCACTCGTCCATGAAACTAGCCGCAGCCCTCTTCACAGCAGTTTCGAGTCCGCGACTTTCGCGACCCTACGCCCCAAGTCAATCCCAACCCTAGTTAAACCCGCCCCGCCCCGTCCCCCCGCTTTGTGGTGACGGCGAACAGAACACGGACGCTGGCACGATGTCGCCGTTCGAGCACGGGGAGGTGTTTGTCCTTGACGACGGGGGCGAGGCCGACCTTGACCTGGGCAACTACGAGCGGTTTCTCGGGGTCCGGCTGTCGAGGGACCACAACATCACCACCGGAAAGGCGAGTGCATGCATGCGGGGGTGTTATCAATCCCTAATATCGTTGCGATTACTTTTTCTGCAGAACGATCGCAAAGCGTCTCCTCGTTGTTTGTGAATATCGTCCTTGCCACAGTGAATGCGTGTGTCTGTGCACCTTCGCGATTGGTTGTGTGCACACACGTAAGATGTTGGAGCGTTTGCCTTCCAAAGAGTCGGGTTATTGGCTCAGTCGCCTAAGGGTTAAGAGAGGGTCGGGGACAAGCATATAAAACTCTCTTAAATCTGGTGTTCTCATGATGAACCTGTTTCTCAAGTGCTAGCCTCCACTCTTGGGTGCCCTCCCTCTTGTTGACAAAAAAATGTACCACGCGATGGGGTGCCGAAACGGACGGACGTGCAGGTTTACCAATCGGTGATCTCGAAGGAGCGCAAGGGGGAGTACCTCGGCAAGACGGTGCAGGTCGTGCCGCACATCACGGACGAGATCCAGGTCAGTAAGAGCGCCAACAACAACAGAGAAACTGCTAGAGTCGTTTCATGTTCATGGTCGACATGAGCAGCTACCGAGGCACGCGTTGTTTGTTGAGACAAGTTCG